CTCTGTGGACCTTCCATCCCTAACTCAGTAAGCTCTGAATTATACATGGCATATATCACATAGAATAATACAGTGTATCACATCATACAAATAGCATATAAATTACTTTATCACGCAACTCTAATTACCACTCTATGTAAGTATAGTGAGAAGACTCACCTCGGGAAATCTCAAACAGTCTCGAACTCAGAATACTGGTCTAGCCTCCACCTAATCACATAAATAAATTACTATAAATCAATAACGACTCACAAAGGCTAAATAAATCTCTTACTATAACCTCTAGAAGGGTAAAAGACCATTCTACCCCTCTACTGGTCTAAAGGTCTACTGGTTGACTAAACCCTAAAAGTCAACTGAAATCAACAGTCCACACTAACCAGACTCATCGAGTTCATGCGACTACTCGGTGAGTCCATACGCGTACTCATATTCCTCCTAAGGTCTCACTTGACTCAATGAGTCAACCCTTAAAGTCGTCGGGTCACCACTGGTGTCGAATCGCGGGGCAACCCGATCCAACTCGTCGGGTCTTCAAATGGACTCGACGAGTATCCTCCATGATTATGCTCATTCGACCTTCTGAGGTCAGATATGCTTCTCTAACTAATAGATCTAACCTTCTAGCACTCAAAAGTCACGTAAAGGTTCAAACTTTACGTTCATGCAACACACATAAAGCCATAAATGGAGAAATAACCTTCAAAATGGTAACCTATTCTCAAAGCTCTCATGAAACAACATAAAGCTGGAAGGTTGGGACTCTTTGGACCTTTCATGGTCCAGATCCAACATCTACACCACCTTAGGACATCACATGCTTCATAATCCAACCCAAAATGATGCAAAGAAACCCTAGATTCAAGCAAACTATCAAATACACAAAATGGGAAAGGATTTGTACCTCTAGAAGCGAATCTCAGTATGAATAACATAGATCCAAGCTCCACAATCGATCTAGCTTGGACTTTCCCACTCCTTCTTGCAAGAACACACCAAAAGGATGATGAATTAGCCTTTCCCTTGCTCTCTAAGCTCTCTTCGCTCTCTAGGGTTTCTCAGGGGTGTACTTGGCTGCAAATGATGGCTATAAGGACGTTTAAATAGGTCCTAAACCTGAGATATTAGGGTTTTCCTCGTCAGCACCAACTCGTCAAGTCAGATACCCGACTCGTCGAGTCCAATCGCTAAACCATGTCAAAAATCACAACCCAACTAGACGAGTTGAGGCACCAACTCGTCGAGTCCCTCCAATAACTCCAAAAATTAAATTATTAAATAATTAAAATAGCATACCTGCAAATTCCGGATGTTACACCTTCACTATCGGGATATGGATTTGCTTCATTTGTTTGATCTCATGGTCCATGATCTTTACCGGAACTTCCATGAAGTTGAGGTTCTCGCTTACCTCGACCAAAGCGAGTGAGATAGCAGAACCTCAACTTCATGGAAGTTCCAGTAGAGATCATGGACCGTGAGTTCAAACAAATGAAGCAAATCCATATCCCGATAATGAAGGTGTAACATCCGGTCGGATGGGTGGCTCTGCCCCAAGTCCACAACCAGACAAGGAACAGGAGATAGGGCGGAATCACATATCCTAAATCTTGTTAAGTCTAAATTAGAAACCACTTTTGTGTATATACTTAGCAGCGATTGATTAACCTAATGAGTTCTTAGTCTCTATTCTTAAACTTGGCCTGCGGTACGAGTGGTCTTTCTCGGAGATCTACTGTGTAACATTTGGAATCCCAGGTATATTATTTTAATATTTTATTTTTGGAATTTGTGAAGGAACTCGACGAGTTGATGCTTAGACTCACCGAGTAGGGTCGCGGTTGATCATCTGGGTTCGCGTTGGACTCGGCGAGTCGACGCTATTTAATGAAACCTTAATCCTCCGGGGTTGGAGCCTATTTAAAGGCCCTTATGGCCGTCCATTGCGGCTACCACACCCCAGAGAGAGTCTTAGATTGCTTGTGAGGAGAAGAGAGGCCATTGTTGATCAATTGTTGGTAAAATTTGAAGGAAAAGGTGACCAAGGCAAAAGAAGGTTGAAGGAAGTGCAAATCTAGTGTCTTCAGAGATCAAAGGCTTCATATTAAGGTATTCCTTCGAACCTTCTCCAATTTTGGGTGTTGATTTATAGAGTTTGGGTTTTGTTATGGCCCTTTAGAAGAAGAATATGTAGAGTATTTAGTCCCCTCTCGAGTTTGTGTTTGGATCTGGACTCAAAGGGGTCTAGAGACTTCAACCTATGAAGCTTTATGAGTCTTTGTGGGGGTGATTGGACTTAGGTTGCCATTGTTGGGACTAAATCACCATTTGATGCCATTATGTCTCTCTCACACTCTAACTAACAAATGGGTCTAAAGGCTAAAGCACCACATGCAAGTGGGTTTTACAAAAGTTAAACATTTACAAAGTCATGAATGAATATGCAACCCCAACATTCTCCCCCTCAAAGTTAGGAATGATTGACCCACTTCAATTCTTCCAAAATATAGCACTACGCGGTTCGAGCCTCAAAGGTGACACATGTCGACACGAACTTCAATCTTCAATTCTTCCATGATTCTTCAATTTGGGCTCTAGGATGTGAGACCATACAATCCGAGCAGCAACGAATGATCAAGAGTATTCCAAACTCCAAATAATTACCCAAAGTTGCGCATAAAAACACACCCCAAAAATCTTCAATAATTCCAAACCCATTTCGAATACATGACTTCCGAACTTCTAATTGCATCATCTCGTAGGCTTCAAAACTTCAAGATCACTTCGGTCTTCAAATCCGCGTAATATGAAAAATTCAAGTTCGAATTTCCATATAAAACTTCTCCCCCTTTTTATAATCGAAATTTGATTATAAAACTCCAAGGAAAAAGAACGTGCTTTATTCGGAATTTTTCATGTCAAAACTCCCCCTTAACATGTGGCATAAACTTTGTGCTTCAATCCGGAAAACCCAAAAAATATTAATTTTTATTGTTGTTCACGGATTGCCTATGACAAAATTTCTCAAAAATGGGTAGAAATTGTCAATTTCAAAATTCGGCAGTGACCCGTTGCGCCAAAAATAGTCAAATATGCGAAACACACTCCCATTTGTGAAACTGGGTAGAATGTGTAAATTCACACAAACTGCATGGACCAGATTTGAAAATATTCCAATTTCGCAAAATTTTTACCCCAAATGCGAGACTGGGTAAAATTTATCATCTTGCGAAGACTGCAGGGATGCAAAATGAAAATTCTGCATTTTTGTCATTTTATAACCCCGTTTTGCGAAGTTGGACCATTTGTATTATTTCGTGAAAAGATCAGGGACCAAATGCGAACATATTTGTTTTCTTCTTCATTGAACGAGTGCTTCGCATATTCACTCTTCGCATGTGACTTCGCATTTTTAACCCTAATCAAGCAAATGCGAACTCATGTTTTGATCTCATATGCGAACCATATCACCATTTGCGAACATTCAATCCAGTTAATCAAATGCAAAATTAGTTTTGAAACCCAGATGCGAACTCAACTTTGAGTCACCGATATGTGAACCCAATTGATAATCAGAATAGATCCATAGATGCGAACTCGATTTTGATATTCACTCATATAGGAAAACCCAAACTCAATCATCTAATACCAGTGTCGACTCCAAAATCTTGAGACCCTTCGCAATATCAAAATCAAAATACCAATCGATATCCAAACCAACATACGACATCGCAATAACAAATCCAGACTCCAAGCTTGCGAAATTAGCTTACATACACTTCGACTTTTGAAATTGAACTGAATTGAACACGATCATCACTTTGTTCTTCATTATCACTTTCCAAACTCATGGATTCGCTTTTTCATTGAAACCAAAACACCAAAACATAAATCGACAACAACTACACTTCGACAGTCGACTCACCAAAATCAACAATTGCAAACGATTCAACCATTAGCAAATAAATGTTGTTCGATTCCAGATAACCCAGAACATCGACTTTGACTCACAGTAAGAACATTCGACCCCAAATAAATTCCAAGATCGAGTTCCAAAATCAACCAAGATCATAAGAACATGCATCGACACCATTAGCTCTAATCCAAGAAATTTCGAAATTAAACACCAAATTGAACATGATTTTGACATTCACAGTTGAAAAACAACTTATATCTTCCAATTTCTTCTTCCAATTCATTGAATCAACCCATTGAAGCCGAGTTTGACTTTTTATGGGGTTGACTTTTCTAAGTCAAAGATCAAGAAACACGAAATTGAAGTACCCAATACCAAATTTCAGATCAAAAACATATTTTATTACAATTTCTAAGCCTCTTTCATGAGTTCTTGACCAAAATCGATAAGATCAAAGAATTAATTTTCGATTATCCGACTGAGACTTGAACAAAAGCGATTTTAAAATCGAAGTGATAAAATCGATTTACAAAAATAACCCAACAATCAATTCCAATTGAAGTTAATATTTAAAGAAACGAAGATGAAGATACTACTAGAAAATAGCCCTTTCATGACGCGCAAACAATGACACTCGCTGATAGAGGAAGCGCATTTGTGAGTGCCCTAAAAAATATTGTCAATTTTGCAAAATTTAAAATATTTTGGACACGCATTTTTACGTGCTTTAAAATTAGTGTCTAAAAAAAAACACGGAGGGCGCCTATAATAAAATGCGCGTCGTCTACGACCGTCGTTTTATAAATTTTAATATAACGCGGGAGTTCCATCCGGGTAAAATGAAATCCCAAAAACTTAAGAACCCCGCCTTCCCTTTTTTTTTTTTTTTCCTCCTCCGCTTTAGTTTCCCTCTTTGTAATAGCTAGGGTTTTTTTAAAGAACTTGCCCCGGTAGGGAGGGGGTTCGAAACATGATTGGGAACAGTGGGTCAAGAAGCACCGGCAGGGAGCAGCGACCAAAATGAAATCGGAGCAGCAGCAGGTGGTGGTGATCGGAGATTCTCAACAAATGCAGTGGTGGTGATCGGTGGATTCCCTCCTCTCTAACAGTCTTAGACGAGATCCGGCGACTCCCAAGACTTCCCAGCGGTGTCACCGACAATTCTTCGCCGTAATTAAACCCCTTGTGTCGATGCTCCGTTCTCTATCACTGGAAGCCAACGAAGTTGCCCTGCTCGCCTTTCTTAACCTCTCTGTTATGGATGAAACGTATGTTTGTTTATATTTCTTTTTTACTTTGAAACTATGATCATGATGATGATGAGCTTCACTTTGTGTTCAATCGTTTTCTTTTCTTATCGTTGCATATTTTTTGGATGATTCAGAAATATTTGGAAAAAGAAAAAGGAATCAAAGCTTTTTTAAAAGTGTGTTTTGTGGTCTCTGTTTTATCGTTGATCTTTTTTTTTTCCAATTGGTTAACAGAAAAGAAAACAATTTGACTCAGTTAATTAAATTAGTGTTTGTTCTTATTGATAAAAAAAATCCATATATTGTTTCTATAAATTAAACAATATACACATGTTTTTATTGGAAGTGTTTAGTTTTATGAGTAGTTCTGTTCATGCTTAGATAAACAATGTTCTCTTGTTCATAAGATTCCCTACTAGGATATTTCATTGGTGGTTTTAAAATTCTTGGAAGAAGTTAAAATGAATTAGAATTTGAAAAGTTTTTGTGGACTTTTCAGAACAGAGAACATCAGCAGCAGCAGGGAACAGAGAACAACAGCATCAGGGGTATTTTTGGAACAGAAGCTGGGAGTTGATGTTTACCCAGTGTAGTTCCAGGTATAGAGATGAATACATGGGCTATAGGAGGAGAAGTCGCAACAGAAGCAGGGACAAATATGACTGTGAAAATGATAGTTCCGGGTATAGAGATGTTTACCTCTAACTTTGAACACATGATATTAAAATATATAATACTTGAATTTTTTTTGTTTGTCTGTGATATAGAAGCAACAAGCTGGTAGTAGTGGTACTAGTAATCAATCTCATATACCAAGTTCTCGGATTAACACACAGTCATACCAAACTGCTCCATCAAATCAGGTAAACCTTCTAGAGTCTTTTCTGTAGTTTTAATCATGAGAAATGTTACTTATTGTGTCATGTTAACTTTGTGATCTGGTAGTTCATTGGTCAATATGTTGTTAATGGACTAAGTGGAGTTGACAAAATGGTGTTGGATTATTTGCTACTTCCAGTCAATTTGTATGTTGTTTAGTTTGGTTTGGTTTATTTTAGTTTTATTATGTGAAATTCCAATTCTTTGTAAGTTGTTTGCATGTTTCAGATCAATTCATTACAATAGCTCTAAAACTTAATTTATTTCGGACTTTAGAGGAATCGGAGGTTTACAACAGTTAAGACATGTAGCTTAAAAATGGAAATGAAGAAAGTTTGTTTTAAAATCTTCCCTAGGCTGAGTTTCATCTGTTGGTTCAATAAGGAGTAATTGACCTCTTTCTTGGTTTGTCATAAGAGCTTTATAAGAAAAGTAGGCTTTTGGATAATTCGTGGAAGCTCTATTGGCATTCCTGACATCAGTTTGACAAGGAATGAACTTATGAACTATAATGTAATTGAGTTGCATTTTTTGGTTTATTACAGTCAACAGGTGCATATGTTTGAGCTATTTTATATTATTTTGGTGACAAACTTTGCTAAGCTTACTAAAAAAATTTCTTTTTTTGTTAACTCCAGAAAGTGGACATGGAACCATGCCCGAAGGTGCACTCATTTCAGCTAAGGAAAGAGTATCCTTTTTCCCACCCTTATGATATTTTACTGACTTTTATGTTGATTATGGTCTTTCTTTAGACGAAATTGCTATACAATTTGGCCTTTCTTTAGACAAGATTCGGTAATCCTCTGTTTCTTTTATATGTGTAATGATGACGATTAAAGAATATAAATTTGATGGTTTTGAAATTTTAACAGGGAGGCGATTGAAGGGATGGTAATTGAGGGGCTGATTTACTCATCGATTGATGAAAATCACTTCAAGTCCACTGGCAATATGTGATTCCGATTCCGGGACTGTTTTCAAGTATGGAATAGGTTGATAGTTTTGGTTCCTAACGTTTCCGTGTGTTTCTTGTTTGCTCTTTTTGAACCATGATGCTAGTTAAACTTAGTTTATCTGGTTTTGCTTTTACCAGTAAGATACTTGCTTTCAAGAGTTCACTTTTATTATCCTCAAATGATCCACCCTTTTGTTGGCCTTTGGAGAGTAAATAGTTGATGATATATATGTAATTCTAAAGATGAATCTCTATATGTTTATCGTGTTTTAGACGTTTAATGTCAATTAATACTTAATGATCTATCATTTTGAGAATTGGTCGGCTGGGGATTAATTGACATCTCTCAGCTATGAAGTCGCTGACAATCTCTGTGAAATTAAAGGGTAATACTGTAATTATTGAATTATCTCTTGTTCTTTTCATAATCAGTTGTTTTTTGTTTTGTGTAGCTGTTGTTGGGGGACTACCATCATATGCTTCATGGATGGCTCTCTCGGTAACAAGAATTAGTTAGAAACAAGTGAGTTGCTAGAAGAACTTATACTTCTCATTTCATTTTCATATCGATAATCTGTGGATGAATTGTGTAAATATAAATATAAAACATAATAAAGTTGAATTTCTTCACATTTTGATTGGAATTTTTACAAGTTTAGATGTGTACTATATTTAGAGGGAGCTTGGAAAATCATCTTTTCAGAAGTAAGTTTTCGCCATTTTTTTTTCCCATTTGGGAACTTTTCGAAATTGTGCACGTATTTTACCAGCTACTCTTCACCATGGAAATTTTCCAATTTTGTTGTTTGTAACTATATGCATGTTGTTGCTTGTCCATGTGCATTGGGTTTAGCAACACCAACTGCTGTGCTGGTAAACCCATTTTTCCAATATATTTCCTTTCTTTTTAAAAAAAATCGTTTAGCAAAAGCAAAAGAGTTGTTTTTAGTTTATTTGTTACTGATAGGCTGTTGCAGAGGGAAGAGCTATATACAATAACAAAAAGTAGTTCATTAGATTGGTGGTTGGGGATTAATTTGTATTCCTTAGGTATGGATGTCAAAAAAATTATCTTAACATTATCCTAACATTTATTCTTATTACAATTTAAAAAAATATTGAATCTATGTTGTTTTTGTTGGTAGGTTGATAGAGAATTGCATCCATGGATTGCTAAAGATGATGATGTTGGTTGTTAGGTTGAGAGAGAATTGCAGCCATGGATTTCAACTGTATGTGTCTCATGTGAAGCCCGCTTTTGTTAGAACTATTAATCTCAGGGATTTCAAGTTTTTCATATTTCTTGTATGTAATTAGTTTGTAAATTTTTGTTACTTCTATTGCTTTGTTTTATCTTTCCATTGAACGATTATTTGTATGACATTAAATTTTATGTAATGGATTGTATTTTTTGTATATGATATTTTATTTTATTTTATGACACATGAAATGCAAATTTAATTTAAAAATTAGTAAATTTATAAATAATTTAAAAAAAAACAATTACGATACGCACAAATGTGTGTCATCTTCATTTATGAAATGGCCTTTCTTTACAGCAGCTTTAATGATACGCATTGCGTGTCGTAAATGCGCGTCGTCTCTCGTTATGACAGGGCCTTCCGTGACGCGCATTTGTGCGTCGTCTAAGCGTTTTACGACGCGCAATGAGCATCGTAAAAGGCCTTTTTTCTAGTATATATGATCAATTGCAGACGATTAAGAATCCAGAACTGAATCGTGTGAGTTCAAAGGTACAACTATTTGATGCGTGCAAACTAGATCTGGAATGAGACTAATTTGTCATACGATGTAAACGAATTTTGATCAAATAAGAATTTTGAATGGGCTCAAGATTTCAACTCATATCAAATGAACAGTAATGGATCAAATATTGGGTTACGAATCAACAATTAATGAATTATCACTGATTCGGGCTTCAAAGTGTATAGATGAACAATAACGAATTTAACTTTTGTTTTTGTTTGAATTTGATCTAAACAAAAATTGATTGGATCAACAATGAGGTTTGAAACGAATCAGATCCAATGAATCAAAACGATCAAAAATCAAGAACGTAACGCACGAATCAAAAATTACGAGAGATCATAGACAAAGACTCACCAAAATTGATCAAATTGCGACAAAAATTGCCTAACCAAGAATCGTTCTTCAAAAGTCACGTTGATCATGAAAACCAAGCTTTGATCCCAATTGTACATTGCAGTAGACAAACTTCCATCATATTTTCCTTTTGTATACGAAACTCTAGTCGGTTTTGAGACTGAAGGATTTGGAAAATTTGGTTGCTTTGGTGAAAATTTCACTTTTGCTTGAGTTGAATTTTTGAAAGTTGATAAAGTATTCGTGAATTTGCCAACATTTTGAAACTTTTGATTATTTACAAATTTTTGCAAAGTCTCAAATTTGCGATTGTTGTCATATTTGCGAACATATGAAATTTTATCAACAGAGTTTATTGGTTTGTGAAAACTTGTATTTATTCGTTTATTTTTGCTTTGAAATTTTGATGATGGTGTTTTTGAAATTTATTCTTTTTCAACTTTTGGTTTGTCATTAGACATAACTTGCCAAAAGATTGCTTTTCTTGCTTTTCTTTTTGAAACATTATTTTCTAGAATAATTTTCAACCATCAATTTGAATTAATGAGAATTTAATTTCATTTCAGCCTTTGATTTTTCAACTTTTTCAAAAACTTTGTTTGCTTTTGCACCTTTAATCACCCATTTTTGTGATGATTTTTGTTTTTAAAACACATAAGGATTTTGAGTTAAATTGTTTTCTTCTGTGTTTTGATTTGCAAAAAAACCTTCAGTAGTTGATCTTTGATTATCTTTTTCAATCATTTTGTTGAATTTAGGATGAATTTTCTCAACATTCCCAGTAGTGACAAAAACTTGATTTGGAAAAATGGTGTTATTGGTGCATACAAAATTTGGATATACCACAGTGTTGGTTTCCAAATAATGTGCACCTTTGTCATTTAAAATTTTATCAAATTCTTTTGTATTTTCAAACACTTGATCAACTACAACTCTTGGAGGTTTTTCATGTAAATCTTTCACATCTTCTTTGTTTTCATCAATGTCATAAGATTTCCAGCTTTCAACTTCCACATTATCAAAATTACAATGTTGCGAAATAGAGTGGTTTTCAGTTTCATCCACTACTATCGAATCAACTAAAATTTCTTTACCTTTGATATTAGATGTGATATTAATGATTGACAATTTAGAACAATCAACCTCTTCTTCCTCTTCAATTTCACTGATCTCACTCACATTGTTTGAATTGTCATTAACATCGGCATAATTGAGTTGAGAATCAAGATTCGAGGTTTCGGTTTTCTTTAAGATTTTCACTTGTTCACTCTTTGTCAAACTTTCATTGACAATGTTAACCAACTCATCAGCATTCAAGTATTCATCAATTTTGACAATACCATATGCGTATCTATCATCAGGTATTTTATCAAAATGAGCAATTGTGCTTTCGCAATCAAAAGAAACAACATCAACTTTTTCACGTTCATATTCAAGAAAAGGTAAAAGTTTCCTATGTTGTGCTTTGCTAATGTCATAAGAATGATGTAAAGCAGTTAATTTTCCATACATTCGTTTAGCAGAATTACAGTATATGTTCCTTTGTGCTAGCAACAACCTAACATCGTTTGTAGGATTATCCCTATCACAATTTACATTTTTGATCTGCATTTCAAGTTTTTCTACTCTGCTCCTTTTTATTTCTAATTCCTTTCGTGTCTCACCTAGTTGCTTATTCAAATTTTGAGCTTCAGTACTAGCAGACACAATAACAGAATCAAAATAAGCCACGGTATCATCAAATGAAGTGATTTCAGCATCATAAGCAGATAAAGGAATATTAAAAGATTCAAGTATAGCACGTACCTTGGTGGTCATGGGTGATTTGTCTTTGGATTTGGATACGAAACACCTTCCTGAAATATCTTCTTTGCAATCTTCAAAACTTGCGAACATAGCCCCATGTGTGGGATGCCTCATTTCTTCGTCATCAGACCCTGAATACCAGATCTGATACGTTCCACTCTTTTCCGCATCAGACTCACCCTTTGCAACCAGTGACATTCCTTTCGCTTTCGCACGCACTTCTTTGATTTTTTCTAAATAGTAAGATTCATCTTTAACTTTTTCCTTCTTCTCTTCTTTCTTTCGCAACATGCAATCGGCTGAGAAGTGATTCGCACCATTGCAGTAGTGACAATAAATTCCTGAGTCACCTTTCAGCTTCTTCACTTCTTTTTCATCTTTTTGTTTCTCATCAGCTTTCTCCATTTTCTTCTTCTCCTCACCTCCAACTTTAGCAGCTCCACTCTTTGCATCATTTGCCTTTCCTTTTGGATTAAAAGGCTTTTTGAAAAAAATTCTTAACTCTGTTGTTTGAGTAGAATGCTACAGCTTCATCATCAGAGTTCATCAAAAATCCTTCATTATCTGAACCATCTTTTTCATTAACTTTAATTTCTGATACCTTTGAAACAAGAGCCAAAGGACCTCCAGTACTCTGTTTTGATTCTTCATACATTTCTGAGACTTCATTTTCGTGTGTTTTCATCTGATTGTAGAGATCATTCAGGCTAGTTGTGTCAAAGCTTTGTTGATTCTTTATCATCATACTCACACTTCGCTATTCCTTGCGAAGGCCCATGATGAATGTTAAATTGAACTCCATGAGAGACCTAGTGATTCCATACCTATTGCAGCGATACATAAGCTCATTCAGACGATCATAGTAATTTTCAAGAGTTTCAGCATCCTTTTGTCTGAATTCCTCCAGTTCAACTAGACATTGCTTCACAGAGTTGATCTTCGTCTTTTCTCTACCTTGATACTTCTCTTTTAGAGTGTTCCATATCTCTTTGGCTATTTTACAACTACGAATGTAATTGTAAACCACAGGAGGTAAAGCACCTCTTAGTTCCCTCATGCACCTCTTTTCATT